ATTATGATATCTTTAATTTTACTGTGACACAGACCATTTCAGTAGCTATTTGGGTTGGGTCCTTAGGGTACCAGAAAGAAGAAACTGCAAAATTATTAGAGAAAAGGTGGGGGTTAATAACAAAGTCATACCACTCGAAAAAAACAAAAAAATTCCTAAAAACCAAAATTTTATATAATAGAAATCTTGTGCTAAGGAAAGTAGCCAGTTAAAATTAACTATGACTTCCACTTTAGGGAAGATGGAATAGACAGACTTTTCCCTGTTATTCCCATTAATTTCAACTAAAAAACTTAGATATAAACAAAAACAACAAACTATGGAAGGTACAGAAGAGAAGGGAGACCAGCAAGGGAGCCCAGAGCCAAAGACCTAAGTCCCAACATGGTGGTAATTCCCCGGGGCTTTGGCTTTCCTTTTGCCTCCCACATCCCATATGTAGAAGAATTCAAGCTGAACAGGAATGAGACAAGTATATTTACCTTTATTGCTTTTAATCCAACATAGTGATAAAAGTTCTAGCCACTGTCAATAAGTTAAGAAAAGGAAATAGAAGACATAGATTAGAAAGGAAGAAGTTAAACTGTTCCTGTTGGCCAGCCTCACCAACTTAGCAAGACCCTATCTCAAAAATAAAAAGGGCTGGGGTAGCTATATGGAAAGCACCCCTGGGTTCATTCCCCAGTACTAGAGGGTGGGGGAAAGCAAAAAATTGTTCCTATTTTCAGATCACTTGATGTCTTTAGAGAAAATCCTTACAATTATACAAAACTCCTGGAATTAATAAATGAGTTCAGCTAGATCAAAGAATATAAGATAAACTTAAAAAAATCAGCTGTGAAGCTATTATACACTAGCTACGAATACATGGACAGTGAAATTAAGAAATATAATACCATTTACAGTAGCCATCCTACTATAAAATATTTAGATATAATTCTAAGAAAACATCCATGGGATTTGTATGCTATAAGCCACATAGTGCTGATGAAAAAAATTAAAGAATATCCATATAAATACAGAGAAATGCTGTTTACAAATTGGCAAACAACATAGTAAAGATGATAGTTTTCCTCAAATTAACGTACAGGCTTAACAGAATCCCTAACCAAAATTCCAGCAAATCATTTGTTTGTTTATTTTTTGTACTGAGGATTGAACCCAGGGGTGCTTTACTACTGTGTTACATCCCCAGTCCTTTTATATATATATATAAGGGGGGGGGGTTCATTAAGTTGCTGAGGCTAGCCTCAAACTTGTGATCTTCCTGCTTGAGCCTCTCAAATTACTGGGATTACAGGCATGCACCACTATACCAGCAGCAAGTTTGGTTTTTTTGTTTACTTTGTTTTGTTTTGATATTTAGATATAAAGAAGATTATTTTAAAATTTACATGGGAAGGCAAAGGAACTAGAACAGCTATCACCACTTGCTTAACATGTGCAAGGTTATGGGTTCAATCCCCAGAACTGGAAGAAAGAAAGAAGGGGGGGGGGGGAAGCTATAACAAAAGAATAATAAAATGGGAAAGTTCCCAATTTTAAATCTTGCTGTATAGCCACAGTAATTAAGACTGTGGAGGCCTGGGGATATAGCTCAGTTGGTAGAATGGTTGCCTCTCATGCACAAAGCCCTCCTTCAATCCCCAGCACCATCAAAAAAAAAAAAAAAAGACTGGAATTGGCAGAGGGATAGACATATAAATTAATGGAACAGGACAGAGAATTCAGGAATAGACTCACTCAAATGTGCCAAACTGATTTTTGGCAAATGCGCAAAGGAAATTCTTTGGGTGAAAGATAGCCTCTAGGACAAATGAACATAGATGGAAAAGAAAAAAAAAAATCTCATTCAAAAAGTGACTCAAGCCCGGCGTGGTGGGGCACGCCTCTGGAGGCTGAGACAGGAGGATTGAGAGTTCAAAGCCAGCCTTAGCAATAGCAAGACGCTAAGCAAGTCATTGAGACCCTGTCTCTAAATAAAGTACAAAATAGGGCTAGGGATGTGGCTCAGTGGTTGTAGGTACCTAAGTTCAATTCCTGGTACCAAAAAAAATTGACTCAAAATGAGCTGGGCGTAGTGACATACACCTCTAATCCCAGTAGCTTGGGAGCTGAGGCAGGAGGATCATAATTCTCCTTTGGGAATTTAGGAGGCCCTTAGCAACTCAGAGACCCTGTCTCTAAATAAAATGTAAAAAAGGGCTGGGATGTGGCTCAGTTGTTAAGTGTCCCTTGGTTCAATCTTCAGTACCAAGAAAAGGGGAGGTATGGAGGTTGACTCAAAATGGATCAAGGACTTACACAGAAAACAAAACTTTTAGGGAAAAATCTGGAAGAAAATCTTTAGTTAGGGCCAAGTATGGTTCTCAATCTTGACACTAAAACATGATCCTATAAAGAGAAAATTGATAAATTAGATTTCATCAAAATTAAAATGTTAGTTCTGGGAAAGACTGTTAAAATAATGAAATGACAGAGCTACCAAATAGGAAAAAATATTCCACCAAGGCCTAGGATACATAAAGAACTGTCAAAATTTAACAGAAAACAAAAAATGTAATCAGAAATGGGCAAAAGATATGAACAGACATTTTACCAAAGAGGCAAATAAGTGCACAAAAATATATTCAATATCATTAGCCATTAGGAAAATGCAAATTAAAACCACAATGAGATGTTACTTCCACAGCCATCCTAACACCAAATACTGGCAAGGATACAAACCGACTGGTGGTGGGAATGTTAAAAGGTACAGCTGCTCTGAGAAGTTTCTTTAAAAAACTAGATTTGCAACTTTAGTGTAACCCAACAGTTGCACTCCTGGGTATTTATCCCAGAGGAATGAAAACGTGTTCACACAAAAACTTGTACATATATATTCATAGTAGTTTTATTCATAATAGCCCAAAACTAGAAATAATCCAGATTTCCTTCAAAAGGTGAATGGTAAAACAAACTGTGATACAACCATACCATAAATACTGCTTAGCAGTAAAAAGCAATGAACTGCCAAGAATGGTGGCACAACCCTGTAATCCCAGTGATTTGGGAAGCAGAATTGTAGGTTTAAGGACAGCCTCAGCAATTTAGCAGGGCCCTAAGCCACTTAGTGAGACCCTAAAATCAAAAAGGGCTGGAGATGATGTAGCTGAGTGGTAAAGTGCTCCTGAGTTCAATCCCCAACACCCCTGCCCCACTCCCCCCAGAAAAAAAAAAAAAAAAAAAAAGGCAGTGACCTGAACTGCAAGGTGAGGTGGGATATGCCTATAATTCCAGCTACTTGGGAGGCTGAGGTGGAGGATTCCAAGTTCCAGACTAGCCTGGGCAACTTAGGGTGACCCTGTCTCAAAATAAAAGAAAAGGGGCAAAGGGGTGTAGCTCAGTAGTAAAGCACTTGGCTAGCATATGCAAGGACCTAAGTTTGATCTCCATTACTGAAAAAATAAAAAGGCAAACAGGTTAGTAATTGCCCTGTGTTAAGGAAGGGTATGAGTGGGAGGGAAGTGACTATAGCCTAAAAGATACTGTAGGTATCTTTGTGCTGGTAGAAATGTTTTGTACCTTCCCTGTATCAATATCAGCTTCCTGATGGGGATGTTGTACTATGGTTTTGCAAGATATTACCATTGGGGGAAAACTGACTGAAGGATACATGGGATCTCTATTATTTATCATAACTGTATGTGAATCTATAATATCTCAAAATTTTAAAACAAATTAATTTAATAAAAACATCAAGACTGGAGCTGGAGTTATAGCTTAGTGGTAGCATGTTTGCCTGGCATGCACAAGATCCTGGGTTCAATCCCCAGGACTGTAATTAATTAATTAATAAATAAATAAATAAATAAATAAACAAACAAACAAACAAAAAGCCATAAAGTCCAGGTATGGTGGTGCACACCTGTAATTCCAGCAGCTTGGGAGGTTGAGGCAGGAGGATCACGAGTTCAAATTGCTAGCCTCAGCAATGGTGAGGCCCTAAAGCAACTCAGTAAGACCCTGTCTCTAAATAAAATATAAAATAGGGCTGGGGATGTGGCTCAGTGGTTGAGTGCCCCTGAGTTCAATCTCTAGTATCCCATCCCCACCACCCCAAAAAAGAAGCCATCAGGACTTACATGCATAGCTAAGTAAATTGATTTAATTAAGTATTTTTAGTTTTATGAAAGAGAAACAAAAATAATGTCTATTAATAAGATGAAACTTTTACTCAAACAGCCAAAAACTAAATAATGTCACATAGATATGAAAAATTTAGCCAGTTTAAAATCTTGGAAATGAAAAATAGTCATTGAAAAAAAATGTTTTTAGCTCAGTACCTTAAATTCAAGAAATTAAATTTATAGATAATTGCTGGCAATATGCCACATAGCTATAATTTCAACACCTCAGGAGGCTGAGGCAGGAGGAATATAAGTTCAAAGCAAGCCTGGGCAATTAAGTGAGACCCTGACTCAAAATAGAAAAGGCTGGGATGTAGTAGTAGAGTGCTGTTGGTTTCAATTCCCAGTACTGCAAAATAAATAAATGTACAAGTAATGACCTGAGAGATTCCAGGACACATCTAGTGTAAGTCCTTAGAAAATAAAAGAATGAATAAGTGACAAGCAATAAATGAATATAAAATAAGTGATAATTTTCCTAATTCGAAATTTAAGTATTTAGATAGTGCACTCCAAGTATCAAATAGGATAAATAAAAGTAAATAATATTCTAATTAAACATGGTAGATCAACCTCCTCCCTTATAACTTACTTAAATGTCAGTAAAGAGATTTGTTTTTAAGGGATGAACTCAAAAGTTTGAAAAGTATACTGCAGACAAGTATGATCAGTAGAACTGATTATAGTATGTGCAATTCCTTGGGTTTAATCTCCAGCACCACATAAGGGAAAGAACCACATAAAAGAAAGAACAAGCAAGCAGAAAATTAGTAGGGATGTAGAAGAATAACACTGTCAGCTTGACCTTTCATTTATAGAACACCCAACAACTGCAGAATATATACTTTTTAATATTCTTTTCAGGTGCACATTGTCCTTCAAGAAAGACCATATTTTAGAACATAAATTAACTCTCACTGAATTTAAGAGGATTGAAATCATATAGCGTATGTTCTCTGACCACAGTAGAATTAAGTTAGAAATCATTAACAAAAAAATATTTAAGAAAGAGCATTTGACAAGAAGGGTAAGGCCCTGCCTTTAAGCCCCATCACCCCAAATTAAATATTTTTAAAAAGCTGGAAAATCCTCATATATTTGAAATTTGACAATAGCTTCAGGATCCAAAAAAAAAAAAAAAACAATTGTCAGAGAAACTAGAAAATATCTTGACCTAAATGACAATGAAAACTGATCAGAATTTGTTAGGATGCAGCTAACATAGGTCTTAATGGAAATTTATATCTTTAAATTGCTTGCACCAGGGCTGGAGATATAGCTCAGTGGTAGAGCCTGTTCTCAGCCTGTATTTAGTATGCACAAGGCCCTGGCTTCAATCCATAATACCAAAAAATTAAAATTAAAAAAAGAAGAAACAAATTCTAAAATAGGTCGACAACTTTCTGTAAGGAGCCAGATAGTAAGTAAATATCTTAAGTTTTGCAGGTCATACAATCTTTGTTGCATCAACTCTGCCCTGTGGTGTAAAAGAAGGCATACACAATGTGTAAATAAACAGGTGTGATTATGTTCCAATAAAACTTTATTTGTAAGCAGTGATAGTAAATTTTATAACACAAAAATCTCATTTTCATTTTATTTTCTGTCATTAAAATATAAAATTACTTTTTAACCAAACATTAAAAAAATACTTTGCCAGGCACAGTGATGCACACCTGTAATCCCAGCAGGAGGATTGTGAGTTCAAAGCCAGCCTCAGCAGATTAGCAAGGCACTTAGCAACTCAGCAAGACCCTGTCTCCAAATAAAATATAAAATGGGCTGAGGATGTGGCTCAGTGGTTAAGCCTCCTGGATTCAATCCTTAGTAATAGAATACTAATACTAATACTACTACTACTACTAATAATAATAATAATAATAATAATTCAAAGATCAAAAAGTCTCAGAATACTACATTACCAAAGGGAAAGGTCAAGAAGTGTTTCGTGGGCTGCTGAGGAATAGGTAAATTTAATAAATCTCTTTGAGGCATTTTGGCAGTGTTTATGAAAACTCTAAATACAAATTCTTTGTAGCAGTTTTACTACAGGATTTTAATCTTATAGATACATTTGTATAGGAAAGATAAAACATTTGTACAAGGCTGTTTATTGCCATTTATTTATAATAGCAGAAGAGTGAAGCAATCTCAAGAAAAATAAAATAGCTTTCTGCATACTCATAGAATGATCCAAAATATATGGATATGTGAAAACAACAATGTTCAAAACATTTTGTATATATAGGGCAGGTGTTGTGGCTCAGAGGTAGAGCGCTCAACTACCATGCGTGAGGCACCGGGTTCGATCCTCAGCAACATATAAAAATAAAATAAAAATATTGTGTCAACCTATAACTAAAAAATAAATTTAAAAAATTGTGTGTGTGTGTGTGTGTATATATATATATATATATATATATATATATATATCTACCATTTAAGGATGAATGTACCAATATATTTCCTTAACTACTCAAAAGCATTTTTAAATAAGATTAACAACATGTCAGGAGTATTCGCTGTGCCTCATTTTGGAATGAAATTGTACCCAAAAAACCTAAGATGTCCACCAAAAGGAGACCAAATTGTGATAAGTATTTTAAAGAACAAATTGTGGGGCTGGGGATGTGGCTCAAGCGGTAGCGCGCTCACCTGGCATGCGTACGGCCGGGGTTCGATCCTCAGCACCACATACAAACAAAGATGTTGTGTCTGCCGAAAACCCTGAAAAATAAATATTGAAATTCTCTCATTCTCATTCTCTCCCCCCCCCCCCCGCGCTTAAAAATAAATAAATAAATTGTGGTCAAATCATGCATTGAAATAAATACTTTGCTCACTTGGGAATGGTACCAGAGGATCTAAGAAATTATTATCTCCCAAATTAACAAGTACATTACAACAAGTACAAGACAAAGAATACCTGGAATGTAGCCTTTGAATCACTTCTTTAAAAACCCCCTGTTCCCCGTGATGGGCAGAATCACAGCCTCTGGGACAGGAGTCCCCTGTATTTTCTAGCAAAGCAAGGAAACTTCTTTTTCGTTTTTCTAAAAAAAAAAAAATCACCAAGGATAAATCTCACGTCCATACTGTTACATGAGAAAGGTAAGTTGTATTGCCAACATGATCTGATCAACATAAAGCTTTAAAATATAAATAATGCTTTTGAATTATAATATTTTACTACTTAGAAATGAAATCTGATGCACATAAGGCACAAAATCAGTCGATTCATTGAGCTGGGTGATAGGTACATGGTTATTGTTTTTTTCCCCCTATATGAGGATTAAACCCAGAGGAGCTCTACCACTGAGCTACATTCCCAACCTTGGTTTTGGAGACAGGGTCTTTAAATTGCCAAGGAAGCCCTCAAGCTTGGGATATCCCTGCTTCAGTCTCCTGAGTCTTAGGGTTATGATGCTGTCACACCTGTCTTTGTTTATTGTTTCATTTTGTTGATACTGGAGATTGAACCCAAGGGTTCTTTATTACTAAGCTATATCACCAGCCCTTTTTTATTTTTTATTTTGAGACAGGGTCAGAATTGCTCAGAACTTAGCTAAGTTGCTGAAGCTGGCCTCAAATTTTTGATCCCCTGCTTCAGCCTCTTGAATTGCCAAGTGTTACAGGCATGTGCCAACACACCCAACCATGTTTTTTTTTTTTTTTTTTAATATTTATTTATTTATTTAATTTTTTTTTAGTTTTTTAGTTTTCGGCGGACACAACATCTTTGTTTGTATGTGGTGTTGAGGATCAAACCCGGGCTGCACGCATGCCAAGCAAACGCGCTACCGCTTGAGCCACATCTCCAGCCCCCATGGGTGTTTTATTAGGTTATCTTTCATACTTTTTTTTTTTTAAATTTTTTTTTTTTTTTTTAATATTTATTTTTTTAGTTTTCGGCAGGCACAACATCTTTGTTTGTATGTGGTGCTGAGGATCGAACCCGGGCCGCACGCATGCCAGGCGAGCGCACTACCGCTTGAGCCACATCCCCAGCCCCCATACTTTTTTTTTTAAAGAAATATTGCTTCTGCCCACCCCCACCCCCACCCCAGTATTGGGGATTGAATCCATGGGCACTCTACCACTGAACTACATCCCCAGCTCTTTTATTTTTTGAAGACAGGGTCTTGCTAAATTGCCAAGGCTAGCTGTACACTTACAGTCTTCCTGCCTCAACCTCCTGAGTAGCAGGAGTTACAGGACTTGCACCCTTGCACCCAGCTGCATAATATTTTTTAAAAATATTTAGTTATAGATGGGCACAATATCTTTAATTTATGTGGTACTGAGGATCAAACCCAGAGCCTCGCGCATGCTAGGCAAGTGCTCTACCTCTGAGCCACAACCTCAGCCCCTGCATAATATTTTTAAAGTTAAGAAATTGTGTTTTGCATTGACCATGAAGTCTTTGCAGCTATTACCTATCCAACTGTGCCTATCCTGTTCGTCCCATTGGTGCCCAGTGCAATTCCAAGCCCTCCCACAGAAGTCAGAGTGCTCAAATGAAGAATACCCTTTCCAATGGCCAACAGGGTTTGCCTTTTCTATATTTCTGTCTTCTTGTTTTTCAGGTATGTTGGTGGTAAATGTAACATGGAGGAACAAGACATATGTAGGTACACTTCTTGACTGCACACGGCATGATTGGGCACCCCCAAGGTGAGCACTTAGTCTGAATCTCTCTATAATCAGTGAACCCTTATACCTTTATCCTGCTAGAGCCGTATACCCATCTTTTTTTTAAAGGGCATTATAATATAGAAATAAGAGAAGGCACTGTGTTCATCTCTCATTTAAAAGAATAAATGGGGATGGGGCAGTAGCTCATTGGCAGAGCGCTTGCCTAGCATGTGTGAGGCACTGGGTTCGATCCTCAGCACTGCATACAAATAAAATAAAGACATGCTGTCCATACACACTACAAAAAAAAAAAAAGAATGAATAGATTATGTATTAAAGTATTGGCTGGGAAATAGGGATAGAAGAATGGGAAATAAATTATTTTCTTAATTGCTTGGTCGTTTTTTTGTTTTGTTTTGTTTTCTTATGTGTTTGGTATCATGGGCACTGAACCATATCCCTAGCCCTTTTTATTTTTTATTTTGAGACAGGGTCTCACTATGTTGCTTAGGGCCTCACTAAATTGCTAAGGCTGGCCTCTAGTTATGATCCTCCTGCCTCCAGAGCCTCTGGGATTACAGTCATGCAGCAACACAACCAGTGAAGAAATCCTTTTTAAGCCCTTGTCTAGAATTAAATTCTAGCTTCTTCCTTTAGTCACCTTGAGACTAAGGATATAAAATCTAACTATCAGTGAACAAACACGCATTGATGATGCTTTTCAATGATAAGTATCCCCCCAGAAACTCATCTCAAGAACATGTTTAGTTTTATAAGCCCTACTAGACTAGACCATGTAGGCAAGGACCTTTACAAATTGCCATTTTTGCAGGGGGAGGGGGTACTCAGAACCCATGTACCCATGCTAGGCAAGTGCTGTACCACTGAGCTGCATCCTCAGCCCCTCAAATTCTAATTTGACCTGAAGAACATTTGCCTAGCATGTGCAAGGATCTGGATTCAATCTTCAATCCCTAGCACTACCAAAAAAAAAAAAAGATTAATATTTCAGTGAATGGCATATTACTTTTTAGTACCCAATTTGCCAGGGCTTGGGGTGCCTGAATGTGGGAGAATAATTTACAGCTGTCATGCAGATAACATCCAAGGAGCTCAACACTTAATGTAGTTCCCACACATTTACAAGCTTCTTTAATGACTCATAGTCATTAAAAATGGTAGTTACCAAGTAGGGTATATGGTGCACACCTATAATGGCAACTGCTTGGAAGACTGAAGTAGGAGTATCCCAAGTTTGAAGGCCAACCTGGACAAGAAAGCTAGACCCTGTCTGAGGATGGGGGTGGGGGATGAAGAAGAAAAGAAATTGGTAGTTACCATCTAGACATCTTTTACAAAAACTATACTGCCCATTATTCCCTTGAAACAAAGATCGGCAAGAATGTCCCAAGGAAAATTATTTTTGAAGTTTTTTTACTCCCTATCACTTTCTTTTTGTCTACTGTAATGGTGCTCTACCTGGGATTATGTGGTTATTTATGCCTCCTAATATTGAGAGATGCTGGGCCAGGCTTCTGGAGGCTTAGCATATTGTAAAACTGTTCAGATGAGCTCAGACCAGTTTTATGTGTGTTTGTTTATTTGTTTAAATATTTATTTTTTATTTGTAGTTGGACACAATACCTTTGTTTTATTTATTTATTTGTGGTGCTGAGGATCGAACCCAGGGCCTCCCACACACTAGGTGAATGCTCTGCCACTAAGCCATAAACCCACCCCAAGTTTTTTGTTTGTTTGTTGTTGTTTTTGTACTGGAGATTGAACCTAGGGGGCTTAACCACTGAGCCACATCCCCAGCCCTTTTTAGTTTTCATTTTGAGATAAGGTCTTACTAAGTCACTGAGGCTACCTTTGAACTCATGATCCTCCTACCTCCTTCCAAGTCACTGGAATTACAGGCATGTGCCACCATGCCCAGCTAAGACCAGTTTTTGTTCTCTATATCCTCTTTTTTTATTTCTGAGAAATCTTTTGGAAGGATTTATTTCTGCTTTGGGGTATGTAAGAATCTAGAGAAACAGTGGGTAAGTAGGGCAATAATAAAAATAGTAGCTTTATAATATGAATGTTCTGGGGGCCCAAAGGAGATAATTGACAAAAATTGTCTTTTTTTCTTCCATAGCTGTGGCACTCACAGTCTTAGAAACAATCTATTCCACCTGCCCCTGGAGTAAGAGTCAAAACCATCTTTAGATCTAAACAGGAACCATCTTTAGCTAAGTGTTTTATTATTTTAGATAGTATTTTGGGGTCCATGAAAAGCTACTCTAGGGCCAGTGAAAAAAGATCCATAGGTGCAAATCTCGAGATGCAAACATTCAAAAAATTCATATACTATTTATTGGCTGACATTGTGTTTAGGACATATTTAGGAGTGTTTTAAATGAATGGATGTTTGATTTGTTCTACCAGTCTATACCTTTGTGGTAAGGTATTTAGGCAAAAAGCATTATGCTGAAAGCAGAACTAAATTCTGGTTGTTTATTGCCATTAATCAGCAGTGTGACTTTGAGTCAGTTACTTAGCATTCCTGGTCTCAATTTCCTGAGTGATCTTTAAAGTCTTCTCTGAAACCGTGATTATGGCTGCATATAGGAAATGCAGAATAATGACTATTTTTTGTGTGATGGAACAAATGCAGGCATGACTACTCTTTGCCTGCATGGCTTTAGAGAGAAATGCTGGGGAATAATTTGTAACTGGCATGCAGGTAAAATCCTAGGAGTTCACCACTTAATGCAGTTCCCACAAGCACAAATTCTTTCAACAAATCATATTTGTTGAAAGCAATAATCATCATCTGGAAGGTTCTTCTGGAGGCTACAACTAAACTGGTTTAAAGACTTTTTTTTTTCCATCATGCACAGTGGCACACACCTGTAATCCCAGCTACTCAAGAGGATGAGGCAGGAGAATTGCAAGTTCAAAGCCAGCCTCAGCAAACTAGTAAGACTCTGTCTTAAAATAAAAAATAAAATAAGAAAAAAAAGGTCTGGGGGCATGGCTCAGTGGTTAAATGCCCCCGGGTTCAATCCCCAGTACCAATAAACAAATAAATAAAGATGGTTTCTCTTCTTAATACTATCCTGTTATATTTGTTCTTTGCCAAGATTCTGTGACTCACCCACCAGTGACTTGGAAATGCGCAATGGTCGAGGTAGAGGCAAACGCATGCGTCCGAACAGTAACACACCTGTCAACGAGACAACCACAGCCTCTGAGAGCAAAGGGACCAGCAGTAGCAGCAAAACCCGAGCAGGAGCCAATAGCAAAGGCCGCCGGGGCAGCCAGAATTCTTCAGAGCATCGCCCACCTGCCAGCAGCACTTCAGAAGATGTGAAGGCCAGCCCTTCCTCAGCTAATAAGCGGAAAAATAAACCCCTTTCAGACATGGAGCTGAATTCTAGCTCAGAGGACTCCAAAGGGAGCAAGCGTGTCCGTACAAATTCCATGGGCTCAGCCACTGGCCCCCTCCCTGGGACCAAGGTGGAACCCACTGTTCTGGATAGAAATTGTCCCTCTCCAGTCCTAATTGACTGTCCCCACCCAAACTGCAACAAGAAATACAAGCACATCAATGGACTTAAGTACCACCAAGCTCATGCCCATACAGATGATGACAGCAAGCCTGAAGCAGATGGAGACAGTGAGTATGGAGAAGAGCCCACCCTCCATGCAGACCTCGGGAGCTGCAATGGTGCACCCGTCTCACAGAAAGGTTCCTTGTCCCCTGCCCGTTCAGCTACCCCCAAAGTTCGGCTCGTGGAGCCTCATAGCCCCTCTCCTTCAAATAAATTCAGCACAAAAGGCCTCTGTAAGAAAAAATTGAGCGGGGAAGGGGACACAGACCTTGGGGCCTTATCCAATGATGGCTCTGATGATGGACCCTCAGTAGTGGATGAAACAAGCAATGACGCCTTTGATTCTTTGGAAAGGAAGTGTATGGAAAAAGAGAAATGTAAAAAACCCTCTAGTTTGAAACCTGAAAAGATTCCTTCCAAGAGCTTAAAGTCAGCCCGGCCCATTGCCCCTGCTATCCCCCCACAGCAAATCTACACTTTCCAGACAGCTACCTTCACAGCAGCAAGCCCAGGCTCCTCCTCAGGCTTGACCACCACAGTGGTTCAAGCCATGCCTAACAGTCCTCAACTC